GTAACCCTCCATAAAAGTGGTGGAAAACACTTGCAAACACAATTTGATTCTGTATGTCCAGAACCCAGAAAATTAACCAAAGGTTCGTAGTAATCCTGGAAACATTTGGTCATTTCTGTTTTCCTGACAGGTAAATCTTGATAAGAAGAGTGAGTTTTGTGGCCTAACTTGTCTTAGGCTCTATTTCCTAACTCCATGGCTGCTTTAAAATATAACAGCTGTATGCCCTGTAAGCAGGGAACAGAAACAAACATTACAACCAGTTGGATGTCAACAAAATAACAACAACAAAAAAAAAAAAACTACCCAAAACTAACACCAGAAGAAACAGAAAATCTAAAGAGATTAGTAACAAGTAAAAACCTGAACTATTAATTTAACAATGTCCCACAAAGAAAAGCCAATGACTTTAATATCAAAAATCTATTGTTTTAAAACTGTGTGATGTAATTCTGTTTGGTTTTTATCTTTTAAAACTTTCTCTTGCCTCAACCTCTTAGAATATGCCCAGTTTACTATGGCTCTTCCCAAGTAAATATCATTATTCTGCTCGATATAGTGGCTCACACCTATAATAAGAGAATTTCAGTACACTCCATCTACAACAAAAAAAAAACAACCTGAAGACCCTACTTGAATAGTAACTAAAGTGAAAAGGAATAGAGGCCTGGGTCAAGTGGTAGGTTGCCTGCCAAGCAAGTGAGAAGACCTTAGTTCAAACCCTAGTACTGACCCAAAAAAAAAAGTATATATGAATGTATGTGTATTATCCTTTGGTGAATCTCTCTCATTAGATTGATACAAATATACAAAGAATTCTTACAATTCAACAAAAAAAAATCCAATTTAAATGCTCATCAAAGGATTTAAATGGACATTTCTCAAAAAAAAATACAAATAGCCAAAACACACATATTTCATAAGGCAAATGAAAATCAAAACCATAATGTGACACCAGTTCACACTGACTAAACTAGATGACAAGTGATAATATAGATGCTAACCAACATGCATTTCTGATATAGAAATTATACACACAGACACACAGACACTCTCAAAATTGTACAAATACATGGAAAACAGCTTGACAATTTCTCAGTTAAACATAATTACCATATGACCCAGAAATTTCAGTCCTAGGTATACTATTGAGAAATGAGATCTGAGTATTGATGGCTCATACCTTTTATCCTAGCTATTCAGGAAACTAAAATCTAAGGATCATCACTCAAAGCAGTCCAGGCAGACAAATCTATGAGACTTTTATCTCCAATTAACCAGAAAAAAAGCCTGAACTGGAGATGTGGCTCAAGTGGTAGAACATCAGCTGTATACAAAAAAGCCAAACAAGAGCAAGAGGCTCTGTGTGTTAAGCTCTGTATCAATACAGACAGAAAGACTGACAGAATTATGCAAAAAAGAAAATGAGAAAAATGTTTGCATAAAAACTTGGTAAGAATATTTGTAGCAGCATTGTCCATTGAAAACAACAAGTAGAAACAACTCAAATATCACCATAAACAAATGGGTAAACAAAAGAAGATACATCCATACAATGGAAATATTATTTTGTGAAATAAAAGGTATGAAGTATTGATTCATACTACATTATTAAACCTTGAAAGGCTAAATGAAAGGAGCCATGCATAATGTATGGCTCCATTCATAAAAAATACTCAGAAGCCATGTATTAATAGCTCACACCTGTAATCCTAGCTATTCAGGAGGCTGAGATCTGAGAATTGTGGTTTGAAGCTACACCAGTCAGGAAAGTTCATGAGACTTATCATCAATAAACTATCCAAAACAAGCCAGAAGTGGAGTTGTGGTCAAAGTGTCAAAGTGGTAGAGAACTATCGCTGAGCAAAAGAAGCTCAGGGACAGTGTCCAGGCATTGAGTTCAAGCCCTGGGACTGGAAAGGAAAAAAGAAAAAAGATGTACCTATAATCTGAATGTGCTCCACAAAGATTCATGTGTTAGAAACACAATCCCCAAATTCATACTTGATAGTATTGGAGCTGGAACTTTCAGGAACCCATGAAGTCATGAAGGTAGGGTTCCCATCATGGCATTAGAGTTGTTATAAAAAAGAAGGAGAGAGCAAGCTGAGGGCATGCCTCAAGAGGTAGAGCAAGCACAGAGTCCTGTGCTCAATTTCCAGTATTTCCAAAAGCAAATGAAGAAGAAAGGCCAAAACTACAGACACTTGCTTGATCTCACCACACCAGATGTACCTGGTACGGTGCCCAGATGCATTTGGTACAGTAGTACCAGATGCACCATGTATTGTGACCTTCCACTCTCCAGAACCATGGGCCACATCCACCTCTGTTCTTTATAAGTGACCAGTATAAGAGGTGAGATCAAAGAAAAGAAAGGTTGCTAGGGAGGCATGCAAACACCTAACCATTTTGTACTGACTCCCAAGAATTAGTGTTAACTTTTCAGACTTTTTAAACATCAAGTTGAACTAAGCAGCAGTGGAAGTATTCACACCACAGAGCTGACATAAACCAAAAGCCACACCCTCCTTTGTGCAGGAATGGCTTGTCAGGGCCAACTAGAGAACAGTGAGTACGGTGAGGGGCTGTGGATATGGATCACCTGGTTCTGTATTGGGTTTGAGGGTCATCTCTGTGACATCCCCACAAAGCATGTCATTTGTCACCCACTTCACACTTTGCTTAAGCCCCTTACTGTGTCAGAGTCCATGTGCTGTCCCAAGGACTCTGGCTTCACCTGTAGCGCATCACAGCTGACTCTAGCCACCAAGGCTTCACCCGGAGGAGAATGGTCAAGGCTAGAAGACGTGAGTGGAGGGATCGAGCAGCCCACACTGCACTGTGCCAAGCTTGGACCTCAGTGTACACACTGTCATATATGGTGACCTCTGGGTATGATAGTCCTATGGTAGAGGATGCCATTTTCAGCAGGCCACACCCCTGAGCTCACGCTCTTTGAGCTCTATTTGGAGAAGAGCTTCATTTGGCTGCATCCCTGGCAGGTAGTCCTCGGTCTCTACTTTGGAGACTGGTAATGACTAGTTTTGACAGCTCCCCCTATCCATGCCCGGCTCTTCAGATATCTCATGCCCCTGTCCAGTGCACCCTCTCCTCCAACACTGTACCTCTGACCACCTCTTCCCACACTCCACCCCTTGCTTCCTGCCCCACAGCCAGCTGGGTCCCACAGCCAGTGGTCAAGTCTCGAACAGAGGGCCTCTGGCAGAGGCCCTGCTTCTGCCTCCCCTGCTCTACCAACTCAGACACACAAAAAGGGCCTCTGCTTGCTGGCCTTCTATCCATCTTCCCCATCCCCTCACAGCCCTTTCTCTGCACAGCACCCATGGGTACTAGTTGCAAAGGACAGTTTCTTCAAATGCCTCTCCAGGCCATTTTGGTGAATTCCCCCAGTCCCTCCACCTGCACTTGCCATGGGGGCAAGGAGAAGCCTGAAGGTGTGTGAGGAGAAAAGATGTTTCCAACCATCTGCCTGGATCTATGTAGCACAAGGGCATAGACATGAGGAAGTGCCCAGTGTCTTGTGGACAGTGGAGGAGTATCACAGCCTAGGAAATGAAAGGTCTTGTGTATCCCACAAATGGACAAGTGCCTGTCCCTCAGAGCTGATGGGCCTGGAGCCCTGGGTGTGGAGGGGGGGGGGGAGAAGTCAACACTGGCATCCGATCTGCCCCTGTGACAGGCAGGAAGCAGACCTCACAGGTCGACTGAGGCTCAGGGACTGTCTAAAGCTGCAGGGAAATGCTGAGAGAACAGAAGAAAGCCACCACAGCGTCCCTACAGAGGATCTCACGCTGTTTTCTTTCCCCCTTTTATGATTCTGTGATCTCCTGGGTTTCTGGGATTTTCCTCCTCGGGAGCTGAGCAGCATTACTTTGACAAGAATGACATCTGTCATCCTTGTGTGGTTTGATGACCAGCACGTCTCCTTGGCCCCAGCTCCCATCGCTCCTGCCTGGCCTTCTCCTAGACTGGTGGGGTGAGCAGAAAGGTCACCCTCCCTCTTTGCTGAGGACGCAGTTGAGATGCCTTCATTAGGACAGTTCTAGAAGTGACTGCTCACAGTCCCACCACAACCCTCTCTGTAGCTTTCTTGTCCTCAAACCCTAGGCGAAAGGAACCTGACAGCTGGCAGGGAGCCTTGTGTGGAGTGTGAGAGTAGACAGGACACCCTCCCCTGACAGGTCTGGTCCATCTCTCCACGGAGACAGGTTCTGGCCAAGCTGGGAGATAGAAGAAGAAAGGGCCACAGCTTCAGAGGAGATGGAGGCGGTGGCCATGTGGACGGGGAACTGCTCTGTGCCTCTGTGGGCTTGAGGCCACCGGCCTGCACTCCAGAACCGTCCCCAGCTCCAGGGCCTTTTCCCAGCAAGGACTGCAGGCTCCAGGCTCTTGTCTTCCGCCCTGGAGCCCAACTCAAGGCCTAGTGAAAAACAAACTCGCCAGAGTGACTAAAAGGGGCCTTGGTCCCCAGAGAGCTGTGAGTCACATGCTCGAGCCCAGCAAGGTTCCCGAAAGCGCGCTGACAGACAGACACATGACCAGCCCCCCAGGTTACCCCTGTGAACCGGTGCCAGGTGCCCGGAGCCCCTGTCAGGCCCGCGTCCCGCCCCTCCCTGGCCCCAGACCTCCTTTCCTCTCTGCGTCCTGTTTGCCCTCAGCTCACACAGGAGGAGGAGGAGAGCACAGAGGGTCGGGGAGGGTGGCGCGGGCCCATGGCCAGGTGTCAGTGCTGGGTCGCTTGACTGGCGTGGGCCTTGGGCACGTGCCTGTCACGCAGGGAGTCTGGAGGGGTGCGCGGGGCTCCACCTGTTGCTGACGCCGGCGGGGAACCTCCCCGCGCCCCGCGTCCCCCGCGCCAACGCGGACCCCACGCGCGCCCCGCCCCGCCCGGAGGCCGCGCAGCCAGCGCCGGGCCGAGCAGGGGTCCCGGCGTCCGCCCCGCGCCCCGCGCCCCGCGCCCCGCGTGGAGCTGTTACCTTCCCGTCATGGTGGCGCGAGCCCGGGCGCAGGCTCCTCCGCGCTCAGCCCGTCGCCGCCGCCTGGGCTGCCACCCAGAAAAGGCGAGGGCGGCTCCGCCCGCCGCGGGCTGCGGGGCGGAAGGGGCCCCGCGTGGGGTGTCGGTGGAGAGGGGGCGCTGGGGACGGAGGAGGTGACCACCGCTGCCCCGTCAGCGCCCGCCCTGGGGACACCGGCGAGCCCAGGGGCGGGCGCGGGTCGCGTCCTCACCCTCCCGGATTCCGGGCATAGTTTTCCTTTTAAAGGGAATGAACTTGTAATACACAGGAGCCGGGGCCTCCGCCCCGCCGCCCCGCGCCGACTGGCACGCCATCGGGGTCGGGGTCGCGGCAGGTGACACGAAGACCACCTCCCCGGGTCCCGCTGCACCCCCGCAGGACAGGGCACTGCTTCTAGCTCCGGAGGGACACCTCTGAGTATCGCCGCTGCGCCTCCGACCCGGGGCCCTGGGTCGGAGCAGTTCCGCCCCGCGGGAGGCCGACGTGTAGCCTCCTCGGAGAGAGCCGCTTTCTGCGCACTGTGAAGGCGCGTCAGTGTGTGGCCAGCCCCTACCGCAGCAATGACCTGACCCAATGGAGAGGCAGGGCCTCCTGTACGGACAACACTGGGACTACTGGCGATAAGAGGCATTTAAGGCCTTCTACTGATTCAAGACCGTTTGGGGAATCTATTCTGAATTAAAATACATTAATAATTAACAAAACACCCTCATCTGCCTTAAAGCACCCCACCCTCCCGCTGAGCAGCGGAGCATGCGCCTCACTGGCAGCACTTGTGTGTCCCTGTGTGAGGTCAGGGCTGGCAGCCTGATATGGAATTCATATCACCTTTACTCTTGGCAACCCATGAACACTATCTAGAAATGACTGAGCACAGCAGCAACCCACAAATAAACTGTCAGTGGGATTCAGAACACTGGGGTAACCGTTAGTAGTAAATATGCAGTCCATCTGCAGATATATGCTGGGGAAAGGCACCTGTCCCCCAGTAGCTGATATCTTGAAATGCATGCCATTTTCAGTTGTTTCTTTTGGCAAGTGCCTTGGCCAATTCTGTTGAACTATAATTTGATGGTTCGTTAAACACAGAATATGGGAGATTTCTCCATTCACTCAAGTGTATAGGGAGAAACTCATTCCATGATTGCCAGCCAAGAACAGACCTGAGGAGGTTGTCCAACAGAAACCCATTACTGGGTGGCCTCAGAAATCAAATATTGAGAGCTAGGAGCCAAAGAGGATGAGGACTGGAAGGCAGACCACCAGAGGTCCCTGCTGCCCCCTCCAGGACCCCATTCCTGCCCAGAAGCCTCCCTTCCTTTGATTTCAGGGCACACATGGACCTGGCCGTGGTCAAATTGCTATTGACTCACTCAGCCAGCACACTCCATCCTGGAGCTGCGGCAGCCTTGGAGCCGGGTGGCAGCTGCAAATGCAGTCTCCAACATGCCACCGAGCAGCCACCCACAATGCACCAGGGGGCTGGACTTGCTGCAAAGAGTGGTAGTTTCCCAGCAGAGAGGTGGTCATCCATTCATTCACCAACTCATTCAGCTGCTCACTCAGCAGTCCTTATGTCACATGGGATTGAGAGGAAAGGCAGACGCAGGAAGATGTGGACCAGACTCCCAAGGAGTCAGAAAGAGGGCACTGTGTCTGGAAAACAGGTAAGAGTGAGCAGGGAAACAAGACAAGACCTATAATGACCAGGACCATACCCACTTGGATTCCACTGCAGGGTGGAAGAGGTCTAAGAAAGACAGTCATAGCACTCAGGCATGTGGTCCATTAATATATATATATATATAAAAAAAAAAAAAACTTGTCCGTGGTAGAAAACCATCAGAACAGCGGCCACTCGAGGTGGGGTGAGGGACAGGAATTGACTGGGGAGGTGCATTCAGAGAATTTCCTGTGATGTTTATGTCTTAAAGGGGCATGGATCACAAAAATGTGGACATGTTTATCTAAACTCATGAAATGTATGATTAAGATGTGGCTATTTCTTCCTTAAAAGAAAGAAAGCAAAATAATTTTAAGCTCTGGTCAATGGTGTGCACAGTGGTGAGTTTAGGTGGAATGGTACTGGTGTTCACAGCTCTCTTTGAAATGCACGAAATGAAATTCCGTGAAGGATGTAGTCACCAAACTCAAGAGCCAGCCTGTGAAAGGGGAGGAAGCTTGACCAGTTATACAGCCAACAAGGAACTAATAACCATATTATACAGAGAGCTTACAGAACTAAATCACTAAAGAATCAATGACCCAATTAACAAATCAGCTACAGAGCTAAACAGAAGAAATGTCCAGCATCAGTGGCCATAAAGGAAAAGCAAACCAAAGCAACATTGAGATTCCATCTCACCCCAGTCAGAATGGCCATCTTCAAGTGGGTCTGGGAATGTGGCTTAGTGGTATAGTGCTTGCCTAGCATGCATGAAACCCTGGGTTTGAGTCCTCAGTACACAGAAAAAGCCAGAAGTGGTGCTATGGCTCAAGTGATAGAGCATGGCTCAGTGATAGATATGGCTCAGTGACAGTGTCCAGGCCCAAGTTCAAGCCCCAGGACTGGCAAAAAAAAAAAAAATAGGAACAACAAGAAGACTGACAGACAAGATTCATGGTATACATGAATAGCCATGTTAAATTGTAAGCTTTTTATGTAACTATTTGAAATAATAAATGTAAAAAAGAATATGAACACAGCAAATGCTGCTGAGGCTGTGGAGAAATGAACTCTAATACACTGTTGGAGGAAATATAAGCTAGTGCAACCACTATGGAGTTAGTATGGAGATTCGTCAAAAAATTGAAAATAGATCCTTATGATTCAGCAATTCTACTCTTAGGCATTTATCTGAAAGACTGCCAGTCTTTATAAGTAAAGGCACCTGCACACCATTTCAGCACTATTCACAAAAGCCAAGTTATATAAACATCCCAGATACCAATAAAGAGAGAAATGAATATAAATGTCCCAGAAACCAATGAAAAAGAAATATATCTATATGCGAAAGTGTGATAGATATATATACATATGTATGTATGCATATCATATGTACAGATATTTGTATACATACAATGAAATTGTATCATCCATCAGGAAGAATGAAATTATGTCATTTTCAGAGAAATGAATGGATCTGACAAAATTATGTTAAGCGAAGTCAGGCTCAGAGATAAAGAGGATGTGTTTTCTCTCACATGTAGATTGTAGATCTAAAATATAAACATATATATAAGCATATACAGGGCCATATGCATATATATGCACTCAATCTAGCAAAACTACTATATATACAAGGGTGAGACCCCATGGTGAAATCCCTTTGAACAATTAATTAACAGTTTGACAAAATGAAAATCAAGATGCTGAAACATGTCCTGACTGTGGGTCTTGTTCATGAGAGGGGCAGACAAAAAGAAAGATGAATGGTGGGTGAATACAGTCATAATACCCAATATATCTACCTGAAATAGGAAAAGAGAAACTGGACAAGACTGGTGGGGGAAGTGTAAGTAAGAGAAGGAAAACAGAGGAAGAGATGACTCTGATTAAGATGCACACAGCTGGGCGCCAGTGGCTCACATCTGTAATCTTAGCTACTCAGGAGGCTGAAATCTGAGGATCGCGGTTCAAAGCCAGCTCGAGGAAAGAAAGTCCGTGAGACTCTAATCTCCAATAAGCCACTCAGAAAACAGGAAGTGGCTCAGGCGCTAGAGCGTTAGCCTTGAGCTGAAGAGCTGAGGGACAGCACCCAGGCCCAGAGATCAAGCCCCGTGACCGAAAAAAAAAAAAAACGGATGTATATACACACAAATGAACATGTAAATTGAAACACCATTGTAAAGCTATTTGAAGATAATAATAATAAAAATGTTAGGATCCATCCCTGCCATCCCAGGGGACTACACAGAGGCAGGCAGGCACAGGAGAAATATTATCATAAGGCTTAATAGAGGGGCCATATCTCCTCTAGGAGAAGGAGCAATATGACATCTGCCCCTATTCAGGTGGTTGCTCTGGGGCCAGTGGGTCAGGTACTCTGCGTGCACAGATAGGTATGGGTGGAGAATGGGAATGGCCAGCTATAATCTGGGAACTCTAAGGCAGTGAGGAGCCAGGTCTGGGTGGATCTGAGGACTGGAGATGGGAAGAATGTTAACAAAAAAATATATGTTAAAATGGGTAGATGAGTAGTAAAGACAGAGATGAAAATATTAATATAAAATTAATTGACTTTATTATTAAAAAGTAAATATCTATTATTAAAAATTAAATATTAATCAACTTAATATTAGTGAGAAACTCTGGGTGGTGTGTATCTGAGCACTCAACACTAATGAGTGCTTGCTTACTATATTTCATAGCAACATGTGAAGGAACAGAGTAGATGCAGGGGTGGCCTGACAAAGGTCAGCTATGCACATCAGGAAGAGCTAGGCGGAGCCTTGGGTCCTGGCCCCAGGAGTAGAAGATTGATAAGAAGGATCAGATGCAGGATCTATTTGTATCCCACAGAAATTCCTGAGGAGTTGGAGATGGAAGTATCCTGTGTGGGCGGAGTGGGTGTGGGGCGTGACAGGTGCAAGTCTGACAAGTGCAACTTGGGTGGGGTGGTGGTGGGAGCGTAGTGAGTACAAGGGTGGGTGGGTGGAGGTGACGTTGTATGTAGGCATTGCAGCAGGAAGCCTGCTGCACTTACCAGAGAGGACAGTGGGCAGCAGGGATGCAGGGCGGGCAGGGAGGGCATGAATCTGGAGCTCAGAGGAGAGGGCTGGTGTCTGACGTGGATGTGGAAGGTTTGGTGTGGGTGGCATTACAACCAGAGGCCTCCATGGGGTCCCTAGGATACTGAGCCAGCCAAGACCCTTCCAAGGGTCCTTGGGGAGGTGAGGTGGGTGTCTGGGGAAGCAGAATTGGGCTAAGCAGAGCAGGGGGTAAGGAGGGATGTGGGGATTGGGAGGAGTTACAGCAGCCAGGGAAAGGGTTCCAAGAAGAATTACTGTTCCCCTGCCC